AGAGAGAGAGAGAGAGAGAGAGAGAGAGAGAGAGAGAGAGAGAGAGAGAGAGAGAGAGAGAGAGAGAGAGAGAGAGAGAGAGAGATTAGTTCTGTTTCTGTGAAGAAGTACATGGATTACTAGAGAAAGATAACAATTGTGATAGCAATCGCCACTAGCACATACCTGAATCAAAGACTCTACCCTTGTCCGCATTCGTGTATGCATAAAGGCCTTGGAGCACTGTGGAGCAAAGAGAAGGAAGGCGATGAAACCAATCATCAGGCCACCAAACATTAAAGCCATCAGTCCCAGAGAAGCCCCTTGGCCAGGCAGGGGGCTTGCCAGCGATCCGGGATTTTTGGATGCTCTGTACAAACTGTCACTATAAGATCAAGAACCAACAGATCTTCCAGTTTCGATACATTTAGGCGCAACTACCTTCTTCATCCGAATACAATGTACGGTCATTATCGCTGTATTTGGGGTATCTTTCAGTCTAAATACAGCGATAACGACTGTATGTTGTATTCGGGTGAACGAGGTAGTTGGCGTAACAGGTGTTTTTAAATTTTATAGGACTGGTACCTTCAATCGCCACTGCCTTAAGAGCCCCCTATTACCAGAATGCCCCTTCAAACCCCTTTTTCAATTGGTCCGATGGATTAATGATCCAGCAGCGGCAGGTCCTTTTTTCCCCTGTCGTGGGGGTTGGCCAGATTTTCAGAAGTTAGCGCAAACTTAGCGGTGATTCGAGTAAACAGGAAAAAAAAAAAAAAAAAAAGCAAACCACACAGACAAGATGATAAACAGTAACTGGACTGCTTCCCGCCCCAGAATAGAAGCCGCAATTGTGTTTTTGGCTAGGCTACCAGCCGGGCCGCCCGGGTCCCGGGTGGCCAGCCCGTGCAAGGAGGTCCCAGCAAAAAAAAAAAAAAAAAATCCAAAAAATACGAAAAAAAACTATGTTATGCAGAAAAATAAACTGAACAACTTTTGCCTCAGGGTCACATCGAAATTCTTCACCAAAATTAAAATAAAAAGTAAAAATTATTTTAATTTTTTTTAATTTTTTTTTTGGCCCGGCCGGGCAAGTGACCCCGGGCCTCTGGTAGCCTAGGTTTTTGGCAACCAA